CAGGGTTTCTCTGGGTAGCATTGGCTGTCCTGGATCTTGCTCTGTAGATCAGGCTGGCCTCGAACTCACAGAGATCCACCTGCCTCTGCCTCCTGAGTGCTGGATTAGAGGTGGTTTTTTTTGTTTTTTGTTTTTTGTTTTTTTTTTTGAGACAGGGTTTCACTCTGTAACCCAGGCCAGCCGGGAACTCACTATATAGCCCAGGCTGGTCTTGAACTGACAGCAGTCATCCAGTTCAGCTTCCTAAATGCTGGTATTCTAAATATGAGTCACTCTGCCCAGCAACATGAGAAATGGTTAAGTTTTAATTTCCTCACATGTAATATTGGAATAATAAAATTTTCTCATATAATCCAACAAATAATAGCTATCATTAAAAAAATCCAAACAATAACTAGCATATCTAGACCCTAATTCCCAATAGCGGTAAGCCCATAGTTCCCTGCTCAGAAGAGAAAGCCCATGAGTGAAACTTCCCACCAGGGGGCAGTATTACCCTGGGCAGATCTGTTCTGCTTCCAGGGCAGCACAAGACCCGCAGTGTTTCTCCTGAGCTGTGGGTACAATGAAAAGGGGGTGGGGGTGAGGGGTGGAAGGGGGGGGACAAACAAAGTCAGAGATAGGGACATGTATCAAGGCCTCATGATTCTTTGACCCATCCCCCCTTTTCATCCCAGGCTCCTCCGAGGCACGGTTTATGCTTAGGAATAAGCATGTTCTGGCTTATCAATGGGGCAGGGCGGGGCGGGGCGGGGGCGGCACTCCCCTGCCCTGCCATCCCACCAGAGTCTCCAGCTTCCACTTCAAGTAAACCCTACGTTAAGAGAAGCAGATCTGCAGGAGGCGCCTCAGGGTGCTTCTGAGCCACCTGTTTCTGGGATGTGGAGAGTGACAGGCGTCAGCGTGACCCTTGTTAGAGATTGTATTCATCCTTTTCCACCTTGATTTCGATGAATGAGTTCAAATCGGGGCAGGGTGCTTTGTGAGGCTGGTCGAAGGACGGGGACCCGGGTCCTTTCTCGCCGCCGCCGCCGCCGCCGCCTCCTCCTTCCTCTTCTTGGAAATTGGGATTGTAAAGTTCGGGGGGAAGGAGCTGGGCTTCCACGGAAGGCAGTCTGTCTGAGGGGGGCCCGTACACACGGTTGGCTTTGGTGCCGTGCTTTGAGTTCGCGTCCAGGTGGTAGCAGAGCTCGGTGAGGCGCTGGGAGCGGAATCGCGGGGAGCGGGCCACCCACACCCCCGGCTCGTTAAGACTGTCTTCCTCGTCGGACATCAGCTCTTCGGTCACGCCCTTCCACAGCTGTTGGTCCTCGGGTCCGAAATGCCTCATGATGCTGGATCGGTTGGCAAAAAGCTGTGGTGAGACCCGGGACAGAGATTAGGAGGGGAAACAGACTGCGGATTGTAGAAAGGGTTTATCTGGGGAGGAAGGACGTGTAAAATCTGTGCCTAAATGTACCCAGTCCTCCAGTCAGAGTTAGCTGACCCTCCGTCTGTCTGTCTGTCTGTCTGTCTATCTACCCTCCAGTGTCAACCGTATTCTCGGCTGCTGTACCCCTGGCATACCCCTCACACTATGGGTTATTAGGGTCTAGGCTAGGGTTCCACATCTTGAAAGGCAGGCTAGAGACCTACCCGGTAGCGGCGACTTCGGAGTTTCTTCTCTTCTTTTTCCTTCAGGCCTTTGAAAGGGTTGAGAGAGTTGCGGTACTCTCGCCTCTTGGTAAGGAAGTAGGCCACACAGGCTCCTGGGGGAAGGAGAGCAAGAAGCAGGGCCTTCCAGAGCAGGGGTCCCCAGCCCCTGCTTACTGAGTGGAAGGTCGATCACCGACCGCTCTGCAGGCTGGGCTTTCCGTCCTCCTGCATTCAGTGCCCTCCGCCCACCTTCCTCTCCAAAACTAACTCCTCCCACATATCCCTGGCTACAGAGAGGTAGAGATTCACCTGCTTCCGTGAATTCACCTCTAGCATCAAATCTACTCCTGCTGTTCTCCCACTGGATCTCAGTACTTTCTTACGGCCGCCCGCCATAGGACCTCAGCAACGGGTATAGGTGACAGAGAGGAAGGAAAGCAGGAAACTTAGACCGCCGTGGTTTTTTATTGCCGAGATTTAATCTATTCTGTGTATGGGTGTTTTTGCCTGCATGTGTGTCTGAGCACCACATCTGTACAGTACCCTCAGAAGCCAGAAGAGGGCATCAGATCACCTGGAACTGGAGTTACAGACTGCTGGGAGCCATCATGTGGTTGCTGGGAATTGAACCCAGGTCCTCTGGAAGAGCAGCCAGTACTCAACCACTGAGCCATCTCTCTGGCCCCAGGGCATATATTCAGGGACAGAGGGGCTGGCTGGCTTCTTTGTTGGCAAGATGGCTTATAGGGGAAAGATGCTTGGTACCAAGGCTGATGACCAGAGTACCATCCCTGGAAGCAGGGAGTCAACTACCACAAGTTATCCTCTGAGCTCTACATGCATACTGTGGCAGATGATTATACACGAGCATTTGTATACACACACAATACACACACTCAATAAGTAAATGTATACATTTTTGTTTTGTTTTTGTTTGTTTGTGTTTTTTCAGTTTTTCAAAATAAAGTTTCTCTGTAACAGCCCTGACTGTCCTGGAGCTCACTCTGTAGACCAGGCTGACCTCGAACTCACAGAGATCTGTCTGCCTCTGCCTCCTCAGTGCTGGGGTTAAAGGCGTGCACCACCACTGCCTGGCACTGTAATATGTTTTTTAAAGGACTAGGACTGGAGAGATGGCTCAGCAGTTAAGAGAACTGGCTAATCTTCCAGAGGACTGGATTTGGTTTCCCAGCATCCACATGACAGGTCACAACCATCTGTACTTTCAGTTCCTGGGCATCCAGTGCCTTCTTCTGACCTCAGCAGGCTCCATGCACACAAGTGATACACATGCACACACTTAGACATACACACACATGCAACATAAAACAAAGAAACACATATTTTAAAAGACAGCAACAAAGCCAGCATGGTGGCACATGCCTCTAATCCCAGGAGTTGGGAGATAGATCTCCGTGAGTTCAATGCCAGCCTGGTCTACATAGACAGTTCCAGGACAGCCAGGTGGGACCCTTGTTTAACAACAACAACAACAATAATAGGCTAACTCCTGACCTCAGATTCAATACCTATATTAAATATAATGCGTAAGGACACTCTGGTCCTTTTCACTTTTTCATTCCAAACTGAGTAGGGGAAGAAGGCAATTTGAAGTGATTTTTAATAAATTCTAGGTGAGAATTTATTAAATTGCACAAGCACTATTCTCTATCATTCTCTCTCTCTCTCTCTCTCTCTCTCTCTCTCTCTCTCTCTCTCTCTTTCTCTAGCCCAGGCTGGCCTACAACTCTGTATATTTCCTAGATTGGCTTTGAACTTGAAGTGATCCTCTTGCCTCAGTCTCCAGCCCTGGGGTCACAGGTATTGAGGTACCATCCCTAGGTGCCAGGGGCTATTTTAACACCACCTGAATCATCCCCAGGCCTCCTCCCTCCCAGCCAAGAGCGGGGCAGTGGAGGGACAAGCAGTGAGCAGGAGCAGAGGGAGGTCAGGTTCCTTACCTTTCAGCTCCTTATCAGTGTAGTTATGGGGACTGGTCATCAGTTCCTGCTTCAGCTTTTCCAAAAGGAACTTCACTACTGAAATATTCCAAGAGGACTTAATGCTGTCACAGAGGAGAAAAAGATAATAATAAGGCAGACAACTTTGGAGGAGCCAGAGGAGCCAAACACACCTAGAACAAATCGGCAGTATAATAAACTCCCTGGCCTGGTACAAGCCAGCATCCCCCTGCCCCACTTCCCTCTCAGGAAAGCACCCTGTAAGTTTTTTTTCTTCAAGAGACCATACCTTTCAGATCCATTGAATCTCTTGTCATTGGTGATGTGGTTATGCACATTGTGGACCAGTTTCTAGGAGGGAGAAAGAATCAGGTCAGGAATAGACAGGGAAACTTTCCTCTGGTCCCTAGGGTTAAAAAAAAAAGTATCGCCCAGTGTGTGGGTTCTTCTCTTTCCCAATCATATAATCTACTTCCTAGGCACCATTTGCTTTTTGTTTTGTTTGTTTGTTTTTTGAGGCAGGATTTTTCTGTGTAACATTCCTGGCTGTTCTAGAACTCGCTCTGTAAACCAGGCTGGCCTTGAACTCACAGAGATCCGCCTGCCTCTGCCTTCCGAGTGCTGGGATTAAAGGTGTGCGCCACCACTGCGTGACTTCTAGGCACCTGTCTTGGTTAAGTTTTTATTGCTGTGAAGAGACACCATAACCATGGCAACTCTTACAAAGAAAACATTTAATTGGGGTGGCTCCCTTAGGGTTTCGGAGGTTCAGTCCATTATCATCATGGCAGGGGTCATGGCAGACATGATTTTGGCTACATCTTGATCAGAAGGCAACAGGAAGTCAACTGACTCTCAGGGTGGTATTCCGAGCATAGGAACCCTCAAAGCCTGCTCCCACAGGGACACACTTTCTCTAACAAGGCTATACCCACTCCAACAAACGCACACCTCCTAATAGTGCCACTCCCTGTGAGATTATGGGGGCCAATTACATTCAAACCACCACAGCACCATTTTTTAATATATCCTTTCTTAACCAAAGAGCTATCTAAGCATTTATATTTTTTGCTTTTCTTTTTAACCAAAGTGTACCCCAAGCTGACTTTAAATTTCCATGGTGAAGCTGGCCCTGAATGCCTGCTCCTATGCCTTCCTTACCTAAATGCTGGGTTACAGGGACGTGCCACCATACCCAGCTATCTATATTTCTTTGAATATAAGTGTATTCTGAACTTATCTATTGAACTTGAAGACCCACTAATCAGGTGTATTGGCACATGCCTTTAACCCCAGTATTCAGGAGACAGAGGCAGGCAGATCTCTGAGTTCAAAGCCAGCCTGGTCCTTAGAGGGAGTTTCAGGACAGCCTGGGAAGAAAATGAAAAAGTATCGCAAGTCTGAGAAGTACACACGTGAAACTTGAAAAACACAAATCTAAAGCAACAGCAATGGAAACTGGAAGGTGCCCTGGAGAGAGCCAGCACTTCCTTTCACGGTATCAAGCAGCTGCCAGTTTTGTTTATACGCATCGATTTCCTTTTTTTAGAAAAAAATTGACGAATTTACTTAATTGTACGTGTTTGTGTGTGTGCCTGAGTACACGCATGTGCATCACATGTATGCAGGAGCCCACAGAGGTCAGAGAGACAACAGACCTCCAGGAACAAGTGTTATAGATGGCTGTGAGCCATGTAGGGGTTGGGAGTCCAGCCCATCCCTCTGCAAGAGCAGTAAACATTATTTTATTTACTTATTTTTATTTATTTGTTTTGCCTGCATGTATGTCTGTGTGAGGGTGTCAGACCTTGGAGTTATAGACAATTGTTAGCTGCCATGTGGGTGCTGGGAATTGATCCTGGGTCCTCCAGGAGAGCAGCCAGTGCTCTTAACCACTGAGCCATCTCTCCAGCCCTGAGCAGTGCACATTCTAACCTTGAGCCATCTCGCAGCCATCTGTCTCCTTTCTGAGTCAGTTTATTCCACTGAACATTTTTTTTTGGGCAGGGGTGAAGGGTGGGAAGGGTGGGCAGGGTCTGACTATGTAGTCCTGGTTGGCCTGGAATGCTCTACGTAGACTAGACTGGGCCCAAACTCAGATATCCACTTGCCTCTGCCTCCCTAGCACTACCACAATGAGTCCTACTGAACATTTTTGTTTTGTTTTTTTGAGACAGTATCTCTCTACATAGCCCTGGCTATCCTGGAACTCACTCTGTATGGCCTTGAACTCACAGAGACCTGCCTGCCTCTGCCTCCTGAGTGCTGGGATTAAAGACTTGCACCATGCCTGGCCCCCAAATGAACTTTTTTTTGTTTTGTTTTGTTTTTTCGAGACGGGGTTTCTCTGTGTAGCTTTGCGCCTTTCCTAGGACTCACTTGGAAGTCCAGGCTGGCCTCGAACTCACAGAGATCTGCCTGCCTCTGCCTCCTGAGTGCTGGGATTAAAGGCATGTGCCACCACCGCCCGGCCAAATGAACATTTTTAATTAAAGAGTTTTATTGGAGGCTGGAGAGATGGCTCAGTGGTTAAGAAAACTGGCTGCTCATCCAGAGGACCTCAGTTAAATTCCCAGCACCCACATGGCAGCTCACAAGCATCTGAAACTCCAGTTCAAGAAGTTATGAGGCCCTTCCGGTCCTCCATGGGATGTACATGGTGTACAGACATATGCAGGCAAAACACCCATACACATAAGAGTTGATAAATACATTTTTAAAAGTTAGTTTTATTGGACCCAGCATGGCGGTGTACGCCTTTAATCTCAGCACACAAGAGGGAGAAGCAGGCAGATCTCTGAGTTTGAGGCCAACCTTGTTTACACAGAGTTCCAGGACAGCTGGGACTACACAGTGAGAGACTGTCTCAGGAGCAAAGTTTTCTTTTCAGAACTCCGATCCAGTTTTGCTTGTAAAGCCACACGAGGTATTTGAAGACGGCTTTCATGCACTTCCCTTGTCTTCTTGCCTGCACTGAACAGCCTCAGTCCTGGTGATCAGGAGTGCGCTCTGGGATAGCCTGTCTTACCTGCAAGGGGGCACCAGAGCTGAGTCTACCTCATCAGCTGGGTCCTAGCCAGAGAGAGTGGTAATTCCCAAAGTGAGGCTCTGTGCCTGGGAATAAATCTGAAGATGGCATTACCTTCCTGAGTCACCCCACATCACCCACAAAGTCGTAGGGTTCATGCTGCAACTGACACTTTGAGCATTGTTATTTATTTATTTACTTATTTTGGTTTTTCCACACAGGAAAAAGCTGGCTGTCCTGGAACTCACTAGGAGACCAGGCTGGCCCTGAACTCAGAGATCCAAGTGGTTCTGCCTCCCAAGTGTGTGTGCCACCAGTGACACTTTAAGGTATTTTTTTGTTTTTAAGGTTCATTTATTTATTTATTATGTATATAGTGTTCTGCCAGAAGAGGGCACCAGATCTCATTACAGATGGTTTGTGAGTCACCATGTGGTTGCTGGGAATTGAACTCAGGACCTCTAGGAGAAGCAGCCAGTGCTTAACCTCTGAGCCATCTCTCCAGCCTGACACTTTGAGTTTTCATGAAGGGTTTTAGATTTACTAATGTTATATCTAGCTTTGCTTTTTCCGATTATATTTTCATCCCAAGCCCCTGCAGTCAGTGGAGATTACCAAAACTGATAACCACTCCCCATTCAGAAATCCCCAGCCTATCTGCCATCTCTATAGTTGAGTGACTATACAAAATAGGAAAGCACCATCAGCTTTTAGTAGTCCCAGCCTCCACTCTATGAAGAGGAATGGTGCTATATTGGCCCCAAATTCCACATAGTTTTGTTTGACCACTTAGAAGTCAGGCATGGTGGCTCAGTACTGTAATCTCAGCATTTGGGAGGCTGGTGCTGATGGAGCTCCACAAATCTGAGGCCAGTCTGAACTACAGAGTGAGCTCCAGGCCAGCCTGGATCACAGAGAGAGACCTTGTGTCAATAAAAAAACAAAAGGTGGGAGCTAGAAAGATGGCCCATTGGACAATAACACTTGTTGCCCTTCCAAGGGATTCTGATTCAGTTCCCAGCACCCACATGGTGGCTCATAACCATCTAACTCCAGTCCCAGGGGATCTAATGCCCTCTTGTGACTTCCATGGACACTGTGTGCATGGGATGCACAGACATACATGTAGGCAAAACACCCACACATATCCACATGTATCAAATAAAATCTAGATTAGGGCTGGAGAGATGGCTCTGAGGTTAAGAGCACTGACTGCTCTTCCAGAGAGGTCCTGAGTTCAATTCCCAGCAACCACATGGTGGCTCACAACCACCATCTGTAATGAAATCTAGTGCCCTCTTCTGGCTTGCAGGCATACATGCAGGCAGAACACTGTATACATAATAAATAAATCTTTTTTTTTTAAATCTAGATTAATAATAAAACATTTAAAACAAAACAAAACCAGAGGCCAGCAAGGTAGCTGAGTGGGTAAAAATATTTGCCACACAGCTCCAAAACCTGATTTTGATTCCTGGAACCCGTATAAAAATAGAAAGAATTGACCTACAGAGATACCCTCTGATATCCACATATTCACTGTGACGTATGTGCCCCCTCATCATATACAACATACTACATCTCTCTCTCCCTCTCTCTCTCTCTCTCTCTCTCTCTCCTGGGAATGTAAACAGGAATGGAGCTCAGTTCACAGGTGCGTGCCTAACATGTACGAAGTCCTGGGTTCCATCCCTAGCACGGAGACCAAGCATGATGCCACATACTGTGATCCCAACACTTGGGAGGAAGAGGCAGGACTTTCAGTTCAAGGTCAGCTTCAACCACACAGAAGGTCTGGAGCCAGCCTAGACTGCATGAAACAGTACCTCTAAAAAAAAGAGCCTGGAGAGAGTTGAAAACACTGGCTGACATTGCAGAGGACCAGGATTCAGTCCCCAGCACCCACATGGAAGCATACAAAGTGTCCTTAACTCCAGTCCTGGGAATCCAGAGCCCTCTTTTGGTTTCGGTGGGCACCAGGCTTACACACGGCGCACATGAACATATGAAGGCAAAATACTTATACACATAAAAACAAGAAATAAATCTTTAAAAAAAAACTAGAAACTAAAGTCCAGATGTAAGCCATCACAAAGGAATAAGTGAACGATTTCATAAAAAGTGTTACTTCTCACAAAAAAGAAAAGGAGTTACCTATCTTCCAAGATAAGTAGTTTGGAAGAGATCAGGTGATAAAAAAAAAAAATCAAACCAGGCTTGAAGTGCAAAGGGAAAGTACTCTAGACAGTAGGTGTTAAGACTGTAGAGGCTGCTGGCTCATCTACCTCCTGAGTGAGCTAAAAATAAACATACTTCCCCAAGGGGGGCTGGCATCCGCACCTTTCCAAAGAGTTAAGCATACTGGTCTGGTCCTTCTGGTCCACAGGCATCCCAGCAGACCAGAGAGAGAGCTCTTGGACTCCTTCTAGAGTTCAAGATTAGCTCTTGATGGCCTAAAGCCATTCTTCCCTCGCAAGCCAATGTGCTCAATAATTTGGTTTCCTTTATTTTTCTGAAATAGTCTTACTTACTATGGTGCCAGGGCTGGCCTCAGACTCACCTTATAGCCTAGGCTGGTTTCAAACTCAGTATTCTCCTGCTTTGGCTTCCCAAGCTCTGAGATTACAGGTAGTCTCCAAGTGTGTCTTTTCTCCTGGGTACCTTCCTTTCTCTTCACTGCTACTTCAAATCTAAACTAAAGGGCTGGCTGCTCCGTCAGAGGACCCACGTTCAGTTCCCAGCACCCATGTCAGGTGGCTCACGACTGCCTCAAACTGTGGCTCCAAGGAGTCTGACATCCGATTTTGGTCTCTGAGGCTACCTAAACACATGTGGGACACACACACACACACACACACACACACACACACACACACGAATGCACACATGTATGCATGCACATAAAGAAAATAAAAATAAAAATTTTTCTTTTTTTTCCATTCATTAAGAAGTGCTGGAGATAGGCCTCAGCGGTTACGATACTTTGCTGCTCTCCCACGGGACCCCAGTTCCATTCCTACACTCATACTGGGATACTCACAAGTGCATGTAACTCTGGCTCCCGGGAATATAATACTGCCTGGCCTCTCAAGACTCCTGCACACATGTGGTATACACACACATACATGCAAATACAATAAAAAAACATTAAAAATCTATATTAAGACTCCGGGCGGTGGTGGCGCACGCCTTTAATCCCAGCACTTGGGAGGCAGAGGCAGGCGGATCTCTGTGAGTTCGAGGCCAGCCTGGGCTACCAAGTGA